TTCTAAGAATTCCTTAAGATATATTTTTAAATTACTTTAGAGTTTTTATTTTTAAAATTTTGTTATAAAGGTTTTTGTTGACCTTTAAGTTGAGTGAAAATCAATATATTAGTTAATAATAAAGAAATATTGGCCAGGCACGGTGGCTCATGCCTGTAATCCCAGCACTTTGGGAGGCCGAGGCAGGTGGATCACAAGGTCAAGAGATCGAGACCATCCTGGTCAACAAGGTGAAACCCCGTCTCTACTAAAAATACAAAAATTAGCTGGGCATGGTGGCGTGCGCCTGTAGTCCCTGCTACTCAGGAGGCTGAGGCAGGAGAATTGCTTGGACCCAGGAGGCGGAGGTTGCGGTGAGCCGAGATCGTGCCATTGCACTCCAGCCTGGGTAACAAGGGCGAAACTCCGTCTCAAAAAAAAAAAAAAAAGAAATATTGCCGGGCATGGTGGCTCAAGCCTGTAATCCCAGCACTTTGGGAGGCCGAGGCGGGTAGATCACGATGTCAAGAGATCGAGACCATCCTGGTCAACATGGTGAAACCCCGTCTCTAATAAAAATACAAAAAATTAGCTGGGCATGGTGGCGCATGCCTGTAGTTCCAGCTACTCAGGAGGCTGAGGCAGGAGAATTGCCCGAACCCAGGAGGTGGAGGTTGCGGTGAGCCAAGATTGCGCCATTGCACTCCAGCCTGGGTAACAAGAGTGAAACTCTGTCTCAAAAAAAAAAAAAAAAAAAAATACTGTAGTTGATACAACAGTCACTAACATAATGCCCAAGAAGGAAATACGTGAAAATGAAAAATAATTAACTTAAAACTGGTTCTCCTTTATCTGTAATGAAAATGAAATAGCATGTTTACCCCCCACACCAAAAAAAAAATTATAGAAAAGCAAACAGTCCAGTACTTAATAGAGATGCAAGGAAAGCCACAAATTAATTTTTCTTAATACAAAGAAGCAACTTCCTATTCATCTACAACAAAATAATTCTGGGAATGAATCACATGGGTACAGTCATTGAAACAGGGGTGAGAAAGGTTCAAGTTTTGGCTTTGTCACTTACTGGTGGTAGTACTCCAGATGAAGTATATATAGATCTTGGCATTCAAAAAGGTATAATTAATGTTCACTCAAAAATGGTTAAAACTTCAAAGTCTATAAAAAGTAATATTATGTAATTCTCTTAAAATGGGAATTTGAATTATGCCTTTGTCAGGTAGAGTGTGGCAATAAATCACTTAGTAAATGGGTAAGCAATGACTGTACAAACTGGGAACGACTAAAACAATAAATACAAGATGAAAGAATTCTTGATACAGTTGAGGGGAAAAAAAGTGATGCTGCACTATGATTTCCGTAATCTCAGAAGACAAAACTAATAAGCCCACAATTAAGATTACATTTCCTTTTCGGTAGTAACCAGAAACATCTATTTTAGCCATGTACTTACTTTTGGAGGTTTCTGCCTCTGATTCCTTATTCTATCACACTTTGGGTAACAGAGTAAGGCTATCTTTGAATTTATTTTTTCTAACCCTAAAGAACAGCATAAAATGTGAACTGAGCTTTATGATTTATTCAAAGGTAAATATGCTTTTTCATATTTTAGTTTAGCTTTTCAATTATTACTGTGATTATCATTATGAAACAGAATCTATGTCACAAATTATCCACTTCAAGAAAAAGTAAACAGGTCTTTCTATTCTTGTATGTCCATATGCCATGGGCTTCCTCAATGAACTTTTGTCCTTCAGTGCTAAGACAGTTAGTCTAATAATTAATTCTGCTTAATGTTAAGAGTTTACTGAAGGGAGAAAGGGTAAAGAGTCACCACTGCTAATGCAAGAGTAAGCCAGTCTCCAAATCTAAACCCTAAACTGACTGGTTACACTTCCTGTGCAGGATACAAAGGACATCAAATATTCAGATCCAGCCTATGGTAGAAACTGCACACTTACAAGCTGGGGTACAGTTCACGTCTGCTTAATAAACTCAGGAGCATAGGGAGCTGATAAGACAGAAGTGATAACATCTTTTCTTTTGACTCAAGCCTGTCCTGTATGTATTAAAAGTCTGTTTATTCTTTTTCAGAAAACAGAATGACCTATTTTCCAACTGTGTTTCAGAATGCCAAATAACTTATTTTTATATATGTAACTTATTGTTCATTATTTTTTAACTGTGTAACTCAAATATTAATACCCATTTCTAGGCAGACAACTGCTACTTATGCTCTAAAGTGACAGTACTTGCTTAATTTTCTTCCTTGTATGTACTACTGGCCACTTTCTTTTGTAATACGCTCATTCTTCTCACCCAAAATAGTCTCTCAGAAAAAATATGAGTATTCATGACATGAGAGCATGTTTCAGCATTATTGTTAATCCATTTCCCCAAAATATTCCATGATGGAGGTCAAAGAAAAGAAAATTTATATTGTAAATTAGTTAAAAAGAAGATAGAGTTAGAAATCTAAAACTGCTCAGTAAATTTGATAAAAGCTGGGGAAAAAAAGGCAGGAAAAAGATTATGGAAGGGACAATTATTGGAAATAAGAAGTATATATGAAAAATATAAAAGTCAAACACTGCGAAAGAGGAAAATATGAAGGTTAGAAGAGAAGGTTTAGTGTTCTACAATATTTTACAAATATCTATACAATATCAGACACTTAAGTATACCTTACTTCAGAAAACTATTTTTCACAGAAACCAGTATTTTCAAAGTACCAGGAAAGCTTTAAAACCAACCAACCAAAAACAAAAACAAACCCTCCTTTGAAGCCTTTTCAAAGTATACTTTTTGTAAGACAAATAGTCAATTCCTAATTTAACTGCTTTATAATTTCAGGTTTTATTTATTTATTTATTTATTTTGAGACGGAGTTTTGCTCTTGTTACCCAGGCTGGGGTGCAATGGCGCGATCTTGGCTTACCGCAACCTCCGCCTCCTGGGTTCAGGCAATTCTCCTGCCTCAGCCTCCTGAGTAGCTGGGATTACAGGCACGTGCCACCATGCCCAGCTAATTTTTTGTATTTTTATTAGAGACGGGGTTTCACCATGTTGACCAGGATGGTCTCGATCTCTCGACCTCGTGATCCACCCGCCTCGGCCTCCCAAAGTGCTGGGATTACAAGCTTGAGCCACCGCGCCCGGCCTATAATTTCAGGTTTTATAAAAGATTTTCATGAAATAAGGTGCACATGTAAAATGTCGTCATTATAGTAATCTGAAATTTGTTCTTAATGTGAAAATAACAACCCTTCAGTAAACTCTCAAGTACACCTTGGGCACTATAACTAAGTAAATACTATTCCTTTATGACCACAGGCTGGTTAGAAAATAACTGGGAAATCTTTATGTGAGACATCAGGCACAGGCCATTATGAACTCATTTTCAAAACAGTTTAGGTGGGCACACAAATACTTATGACTCATCCTGTATTAAAAATTCCCTTTCCCTTCTGTAGTTCCTTTATATGGTTCTATGATTATTATCAAACTATTATGACAGTTCTATAGCTCTATCTATTATAGAGAATAGACTGAAGCTGTCTACTAAGTCTCAAAGAACAGGAAAAGTACTCAATACTTACAACAGAACAGAAAAGAACTACTTATAAAACAAAAAGACCAAAATAAATCATTTTTTAATTCACTGTTCAAGTAGTTTAGGTTGAAGCATTCTGAGCAGTTGGCATAGACAGATACAGCCTATTAAAGGACACTAATGCAAATTATATATAATTTTTTTTCTATTCCATATAATTAGATGATAGGAGTCCCCAGCATATTAATAACATTTCCAAAACAAATTCATATGCAGTGTAATAGTAGCTGCTACCAGAATGGATTTCTCTGTCCTACCTCACCCTATTCCATGGAGACAACTTCATAGATACTATCTCCAATTAGTTCACCGATTCAATTCTACCTATAATTCACCTATTTAAAAAATTTAAACAACCTGACAAACAGAAAGCACAATAAAAAAACTGGGTCAAAGAAAAAGAATTTTACGTCTGTCGGCAACTTCATTTTGAGGGAAAAAAAATTGACTATGTTATTACTACTTCTCTGAAATCATTTGAATTAAAATTAAGACCTGTAAAAACAATAAACCAATTACAACTTCAGAGTTTTCAAACAATTAGAAAGATATACATTATTTAAAAGTTTACTACAGTAACATTTTTTCTCAGTTTTATCCCTTTATACTATTAGTAATGATTAAGTGCTTTTTCCTATGTACACATTCTAATTAAAAGATCACACCTGCAACAAATGAAAAGATAAGCCAAATAAATGTTTGCTATTTAATTTATAATTGTGATTTCATTATGAAATGAACTAAACAATATGAAATTTTCCATTTCATCTTTAAAATGAAGTATTTTCTGCCAAAAGGTAGTACTTAAATACAGTAATCTAAAGCCCCTGGACTCCTCCACTATAGGGACATGGTGTATCACCATCTCAATATTTTTAAGTTGCCACAAAGTAAAGGAATATTATTTTAATATACTCAACATAAAAATATTAACTTTGGCCAGGTGTGAGAGCTCACGACTATAATCCCAGCACTTTGGGAGGCCAAGGCGGGTGGATCACATGAAGCCAGGAGTTTGAGATCAGCCTGGCCAACATGGAAAAACCCCTCTCTACTAAAAAATAAAAAAATTAGCCAGGCATGGTCACATGCACATGCCTGTAATCCCAGCTACTGGGGAGGCTAAATCACAAAAATCACTTGAACCAGGGAGGTGGAACTTGCAGTGAGCTTAGATTGTGCCACTGCACTCCAGCCTGGGTGACAGGGCGAGACTGTTTCAAAAAATAAAAATAATAATAAATAAAGTAGCTTTAATGTACTTCTTTTTAATCTGAAGTTTTAAATTTGAAATCTTATTCTCTTAAATTTTGTCTTTTAAAATAATACTTATAACTCTCCACAAACTCTTGCAGCAAATTGAACTAAAAATGCAGCATGTTTTACATACCTTTTTGAGATGTCCTAGTCTAAGTTTGAATATTTCTTCCTGTTCATGATATTCTGCCAAAGTCAACCTGTCAAAAATGAAATTTTAATTCTATATATTGAGATTAACACTTACTGTTTATTAACAACTAGCAAAATAAAAATGCAATTAAATGGAAATACTAAAACATGGATAACTTTCAGCCTAAAATGTATGAGACAAAATCCTTTGAGATATTCTTTAGAACACATTTTATACTTTTAAATGAAACAGTTAACTAATTCTACAATGATTTAATGAGTACCACTTATCAAGTGATGTTCTAGAATTTATATCCTAAGGATACAATGAAAAACAAGACAATTTCTCCTTACATATTAGTTTGAGCTTACACGTTATCATAGAGGTAAGCAGGCATAAAACCATGTAATGAAATAAATGTTTAAGTAACAGTATCATGAAGAAAGCGAAAAAGGATGGTATAGTAATTACTAATTGCATTATGTTAATTTGGACTGGGTGTTAGGGAGGTGACCTTCATGAAAGACAACCATGAGTACTCGGTGGAGTATATTCTAGACAGGAGTTACAGAAATTTCAAAACCCTAAGATGAAAATAAGTCTTGGCATGTAAATAGAAGAGGGAAAAATGGGAGCAAATCAGATGTAGTTGAAAAGGTTATGAGTAGTAGGAGACGTAAGCTGGGGAGACATACTATGTATGGATTTTCAAGCCAAGAAAAGAATTTCAATTTTACTCCAAGAGTAGTGGGAAATCACTGCAAAGGGAGTCAGTCCAGTTTGGGCAGTTTTTAAAAAGAGAAAAAAACGAAGACATTTTTCCTTTCTCTGCTTCAGTGTGTTGGGAGTAAATAAGCAAGATAAAGAAATGCGAAATCTTTAGTTAAAGTACTAAATTCTAGTCAGGTGCAGTGGCTCACACCTGTAATCCCAGTACTTTGGGAGGCCCAGGCAGGTGGATTGCTTGAGTCTAGGAATTCAAGACCAGCCTGGGCAACATTAACAAAACCCCGCCCTTAATCTCCCTCATCCCCAAAAAAGCACTAAATTCTTACACTCCAAATATAGAGATAGGGTCTTGCTTTGGTGTCCAGGTTGAATTTGAACTCTAGAGCTCAGGTAATTCCCCAGTCTCAGTGTCTTGGGGTACAGGTGCACACTACCATGCCTAGCTACTTCAGAATCTTAATAAAAATAAATAGACACAGGACTTTTAAGTCTTGAAAGTGCTTCACAGTTATTTATTTCAAATATTCTTATCTAACTTTGAAAAATTACCAATTTAATATACATAGAACCAAAACAAGACTTATTAGGGTCTGGCTCTGTTGCCCAGGCTGGAGTGCAATGGTGCAATCTCTGCTTACTGCACCTCCACCTCCCAAATTCAAGCGATTCTCCAACCTCTGCCTTCAGAGTAGCTGGGACTATAGGTATATGCCACCAAGCCCAGCTAATTTTTGTATTTTTAGTAGAGACAGGGTTTTGCCATGTTGGCCAGGTTGGTCTCAAACAGCTGGCTTCAAGTGATCCACCCACTCAGCCTCCCAAAGTTCTGGGATTACAAGTGTGAGCCACCACAACTGGCCCATATTCCAACTTTAAAAAAATAGCTTTTATCCAACACATTCAAGCCCTTGTTTGTCAATTTAATTATGTGTTCTAAGGTTATTTCATTAAGCCCCTAACTCAGGTGTGATTTATTTGTTTGGTTTCACTCCCCCAGCAACATTTAGTATAAAAGCTGTTTCCCTTTAGCTAGGTACTTACTAAACTTACTAATTCTAAAAAAGAAGTATTCAAAGGAAATAAACAAAAACAAAAAATTCAGTTAGTATTCCACTCGCAACACCTTAGGAGCCAAAAAAAATTAACATTTTAAATTAAATTTCTCTATCCAGTCTTAGATAACACAACTATTGGATTTTATTATACTGAATGCAGCAATAGTTGATAGCTGTAGTAGTTGCTTAGAGTAAATTTAGAGAATTAAATGTTGAAAGTGTGAATGCAGATGAAGTGAGAGAGGGAGGAGGTGGAAGGCAATACTAAAGAAAATGAGGTTTCAAAACTAAAACTGATAATGTCTCAACTAATCTAGAAAAGACAAGACATAGAAATGCTGGTAAAAAGCTTCTGGATATGCATACAGGTTTACACCACTGGTAAAAGTGTGCCTGTATAACAGTATCATAAATTGCTATTCTTAAAGTATGGTTTTAGGTCCACTAGTAGGCCATAGGATGAGCTCAGAACTAATTTTTAAAAGATATTTAAATTTGTTTTGTTTCTATATAGAAATTCTATACTTTCGATTTTTGCTGAGTTACAAAACAGCTAAAGTTTGGCGTATCTTAAACAAAATTAGTACCTGACTTGAGTTCTTTGAAATTTTTGTCCTACCAAGACATTTGGCTATCATGTGTAATTGCAAAGCTCCTACACATGCACATGGCTAGACTTTCTGCAACATGGGAGAAATGGCATTTTGTTGTTGTTTTATTAGGCTACTCATTTTCCAGGGCAGTGATTCTTACCATTTTACAATCACAGAGATTAAAAAACTAAAATCGGAAGGAAGTTATAAACACTCTCCCCAGAAAATTTTACATATACATAATTTTGGCATTCACAGATCTCGGTAAGAGTTTCTCTGCCCAGGGTCTTGTCTTACCAATTAGAATGCAAACCCCCAAATGGCAAAAGGGCCATTTCTTACATTTCTCTCCATCTTCCCACTAGTGAGTATTAGGGAGTATTAATATCTGACATACAGTAGCTTTTTCCATGATCTCTGTTGTCCATTTGTATTAATCAAATTTTTTTTTTTTTTTTTTTTTTGAGACGGAGTTTTGCTCTTGTTACCCAGGCTGGAGTGCAATGGCGCGATCTCGGCTCACTGCAACCTCCGCCTCCTGGGTTCAGGCAATTCTCCTGCCTCAGCCTCCTGAGTAGCTGGGATTACAGGCACGAGCCACCATGCCCAGCTAATTTTTTGTATTTTTAGTAGAGACGGGGTTTCACCATGTTGACCAGGATGGTCTCGATCTCTCGACCTCGTGATCCACCCGCCTCGGCCTCCCAAAGTGCTGGGATTACAGGCTTGAGCGACCGCGCCCGGCGCAATCAAAAATGTTTTTAAAGAAATCTATGTATTTAGATAAAAGAAACTGGGAACAATCTTCTTTAAAGAAACAAGACTTAAGTACATAGAATGAAAAGATTTAAGCTAGGATAATGTTTACATCAGTGGCTTTTAATTATCAATTACTTTTATGTGTTTAAGATTTTTTTTTAAAAAACCTGCCCTCTCAAACAATTCAGTTGGTTAAATTACTAGCAAATCTTTTATTCATAGATCAGGCAAAGATACAGTCCATCTCTTCCCATAGAATCATCTCTGACGATAGCTAAATTATTATTTTCACTATACACACATAAAAATATATTATTATACACACATAATATCTAAAAAGTAAACAAATTTAAACCCCAAACATAAGACTTGACTCCTGATAATCTGCCATTCTGAGTGAATGAGAATTTTAATTTAAAAAGTATTCTAAAATAGTTTAATAGAAATGTGGGTGACAGTATTTAAAAAAGTAGAAATAATAAAAACAGGGAATACTCATTTTAAACAAATTTAGTATTCAACGTCTAAAAGACATTCTGTTTAAGCAGAGAATTAACCTGAAGCCTGAAAGTCAAAAAAACACAAGCTATGGTAAAGAGACTGTTAGAGGCACTTATACAAAAATTAGCTGGGCATGGTGGTGCACACCTGTAGTCCCAGCTGCTCAGGAGGCTGAGGCTAGAGAATCGATTCAACCTGGGAGGCAGAGGTTGCAGTGAGCTGAGACTGCGCCACTATCCTCCAGCATGGGCAACAGAGCAAGAAAAGAAAGAACAAAAACAACAAAAACCCAGGCAAACTAACATCAAAGTTACTGGTGAAAATGGAAAGATTTTCTCCTACTATCAGGAATGAGACAAGGACGTTTACTTTCATCACTGCTATTCAATATTATACTGGAAGTCCTACCAGAGCAGTCAGGTAAGGAAAAGAAATAAAATGCATCTAAACTGTAAGCTAAAAAGTAAAACTGTATTTGCAGATGACATGCCTCTATACTTAGAAAATCTCCAAAAAAACACAAGAAATCACTAGAGCAATAAATAAATTTAGCAAAGCTGCAGGTATGAGGAACAGGTTACTTGTATATATCGGCAATAAACAACCTGAAAAGGATATTAAGAAAGCTATGACATTTATAATAGCATCCAAAAGAATATAATACCTAGGAATAAATTTAACCCAGGAAGTGAAAGACTTGCCTACTAAAAACTGTAAAATATTGCTAAGGAATTCAAAAACAGCTAATTAAATGAAAAGATACCTACATTCCCAGATTGAAGACTTTCAATAGTGTGGTATTACCATAAGAATACACATATAGGCTGGGCGCGGTGGCTCAAGCCTGTAATCCCAGCACTTTGGGAGGCTGAGGCGGGTGGATCACGAGGTCAAGAGATCAAGACCATCCTGGTCAACATGGTGAAACCCCGTCTCTACTAAAAATACAAAAAATTAGCTGGGCATGGTGGTGCGTGCCTGTAATCCCAGCTACTCAGGAGGCTGAGGCAGGAGAATTGCCTGAACCCGGGAGGCGGAGGTTGCTGTGAGCCGAGGTCACGCCATTGCACTCCAGCCTGGGTAACAAGAGCGAAACTCTGTCTCAAAAAAAAAAAAAAAAAAGAATACACATATATACTATACCTATGAAATAGACCTGAATTCAGAAATAAGCCCAAAAATCTATGGCCAGTTGATTTTTGAGTAGTTAATACTTTTTATTAGAGGGTGTCTTTTGCAGGTAATAGTCATTAGTGTTCTTACAGTTGAAATACAATGAAGGGTACCAAGACCATTCAACGGGGAAAGAATAATCTCTTCAACAAATGATGCTGGGACAGAGACCTACATGTGCAACAATGAAGTAGGACCCCTACCTCATTCTATGCACAAAAAGTAACTAAAAATGAATCAATGACCTAAATATACAGGAACTAAAACTATTAGAAGATAACACAAGAGTCTGGGCTCCGTGGCTCAGCACTTTGGGAGACCAAGGCAAATGGATCACTTGAGGCCAGGAGTTCAAAACCAGCCTGGCTAACATGGTGAAACTTCATCTACTAAAAATACAAAAATTAGCTGGGCTTGGTGGTGGGCACCTGTGAACCCAGCTACTCAGGAGGCTGAGATTAGAGAATCACTTGAACCTCGGAGGCAGATGTTGCAGTAAGCTGAGACTGCACCATTGCACTCCAGCTTGGGTGACAGAGTGAGACCCTGTCTCAAAACAAAACAAAGGGAAGATAACATGGGGTAAATCTTCATGACTACAAATTTGGCAATAAATTCTTAGATTTGTCACCAAAAGCATAAGCAACAGTAACAAAAATCAATAAAGTTAGTTTCGCAAAAATTTAAAAATTAACACAATTGAATTCATGGAGATGGACAGTAGAATGATGATTACCAGAGGCTGGGAAGGACTGCGCGAAGGGAGGCAAAAAGTGGGTTTGGTTAACGGGTTCAAAAACACAGAATAAATAAGGTCTAGTATTTGATAACACAAGACGATGACTACAGTCAATAAAAATTTATTGTACATTAAAAAATAACCAAGAGTATAATTGGAATGTTTGTAACAAAGAAATAAATGCTTGAGGTGATGGATACCCCACTTACCCTGATGTGATTATTACACACTGTATGCCTGTATCATAATATATCATGTACCCCAGACATTGGTTGGTGCAAAAGTAATTGTGGTTTTTGCCTACTTTCAGTGGTAAAAACCACAATTACTTTTGCACCAACCTAATACTATATGCCCATAAAAATAAAAAACTTCTGTACATCAAAGGACATTATAAAAAAAAGTAAAAGACAACCTACAGAATAAGACAACATACCTGCAAATCTTATATCCAATAAGGGTTGAATATTCAGAATATATTTGGAAAAAAAACTCCCACAACAACAAAAAGACAAAGAGTCTGGTGAAAAAGTAAGCAAAAGACTTGAATAGACATTTCTCCAAACAAAATATATAAAGACCAGCACGCATTAAAAGATGTTCAACAACATTAAGTCATTAGAGAAATGCAAATCAAAATCACTGTGAGATATCACTTTACACCCACTAGGATGGTAATGATTTTTAAAAAGGGAAAGTAAAAAGTATTGTCAAGGATGCAGAAAAATAGGGATAACTGTCATGCTGGTGGGGGATATGTAAAACAGTGCAGACTGGAAAACAGTTAAGCAGTTCTTCAACAAGTTAAGACATAAAATTAGCATAATAACCACTACTAGATAGATACCCAAAAGAAAATAAAACATAAGCCCACACAGAAACTTGAAGACAGGTGTTTATAGCAGCACTATTTATAATAACCAAAGGGTGGAAACACCCTAAATGTCCATCAATGAATGAATGGATAAACAAATTGTGTGCATAAACAGAACAAATACTGTTCAGCCATAAAAAGAATAAAGTACTGATATTTCCTATAACTTGAATATACCTTGAAAACTTAGACTAAATGAAAGCCAGACACAAAAGGTCACATAAGGTATGAGTCATTTTATATAAAACACCCAGGAGAAGCAAATACATAGAAAAAGAAAAACAATTATTTGCTAATGGGGATAAGGAAAGGGCTAGACAAAAATTATTTAACGTGCACAGTGTTCTTCTGGGTTAAGAGAACAGTTTTGAAACTAGAGAGAAGTGATGGTACATAACACTGTGAATGTACTAAACGCCACTGAATTGAACATTTTAAAATGGTTAATTGTATATTATGTGAATTTAACCTCAATTTAAAAAATGTATCATTAGGAAAAATAAAAAGGTGATTGTGGGAGGAAAGAAACTAGTCTTCCTTTGAAAAGTGCAAATGTTGACAATGTAACAAATTGAATTACAGATTAACGACTGATGCGGTTTGACTGTGTCCCCACCCAAATCTCATCTTGAATTTCCACCAGTTGTGGGAGGGATCTGGTGAAAGGCAACTGAATCATGGGGGCAGGTGTTTCCTGTGATGTTCTCGTGATTTTAAGTTTCACAAGATCTGATGGCTTTTAAAAGGGGAGTTTCCCTACACAAGCTCTCTTCCCTCGTCTGCCACTGTGCCAGATGTGCCTTTCACCTTCTGCCATGATTGTGAGGCCTCACCAGCCACGTGCAAACTGTTCATTCCATTAAATCTCTTTCTTTCCAAATTGCCCAGTTTCGGGTATGTCTTTATCAGCAGCGTGAAAACGGACTAATACAATGGCTTACACACCAAGTACTACTGTGATATGCAGAGTAATGGCCAAAGATTTCCATATCCTAATCCTTGAGACATGTATATGTTAGGTTACAAGAAAAAGAAAATTAAGGTAGCAGGTGAAATTAAGATTGCTCATCAGCTGGCAGTAAAACAGGGAGTTATTCTGCATTACTCATGTGTGCCCACAAAGAGCAGCAATGTCAGAATCAGAGTAATGTGACACATGAGACACTTGATTGGCCACTGTTGGCTATGAAGATGGAAGGGGATCATAAACCAAAAAATGTGGGCAGTTTCTAGACACTGGAAAAGGTAAGGAAAGGGATCTTCTAAAGCCTCTAGAAGTAACACAGCCCTGTTAATAGCTTGATTTTATCCCAACTGAATCCCATTTCAGATTTGTCATCTCTAAACTGGTAAGGTAACATTTGTGTTGGTTAAAGTTTGTGTGATTTGTTACGGCAGCACTAAGAAAAAACTGCAGATCTTACCTGGAAGTAGAATGCTCCTTTAATAAATACCTAAAAACATGGAAGTGGATTTGGAATTGGGGGCAGAGGCTAGAATTTTAAGAAGCATAATTCCTTTTTTTTTTTAAACTGCATAAAACATTTATTGGTCTTTGTGAGGAGTCACTACAGTTTTACAACTGAGCCATTAATTTTGTACCTTCATCAACATTAACTGGTTTGCTTTCATGATGCTGCTGAGGAATCAGTTCTTTCTGCAGAAGTTCAAGTGAAAGCCCTTTTGAGAAATGTGCAAGTTCCTTTTGTACATCTACAAAAGCTTTATTTACTCTGTTAATTTTTTCTTCATTCATAATGTTTATCTTATTAAGGTTAGTGGTTACTGGTTTTGCTTTGTTTTTAGCCTTAAAGTTTTTTTGGCTGGCTATGTGAAATACATTCCTGGACTTCGGCCCTCTTAATTTGTTTTTGGCCATTACCTGTATGCAGCTGCTTAAGCTCCAGGTGACAACCAAGAAGCATAATTTCTAAAGGCTGGGAGCAGTGGCTCACGCCTATAATCCCAGCACTTCGGGATGCCAAGGCAGGTGGATTGCTTGGAGTTCAAGACTAGCCTGACCAACATGGTGAAACCCTGTTTCTGTTATAAACACAAAAATTAGCCTCACTTTGTGGTGGGCACCTAGAATCCCAGCTACTTGAGAGGCTGAAGCAGGAGAATTATTTGAACCTAGATTCTGTCTCCAAAACAAACAAACAAACAAACAAACCCAGCATTCATTTCTAAAAAGTTTAAACAGATTGTCAGCCAGCTAAACATCATCAAAAAGAAAGGATAACTGAGAGGACAGAACCCTGTGCCCACAGATTACTCCCAGAACTTGAAACCAAATGAAGTTTGAATGGGTTTTGAAATTCACAGGAAATTTTCTTCCATTGCTTTGTGTTTTGAACAGGAATGTCTATAAACTGTCATCAGATACCTGTCCCACCATTGTACTGTGGGAGGAGGTAACTTGCTTCTTGAGTTTCAGTTTCACACATGAGGAAAAACTGTGTCTCAGGTGAATTATACCTCAAGTCTCACTCATAAGTGAGATTTATTTGATGAGAATTGGAACTTTGAGCTTATGGGATTAAGATGACATGTTAGACTTTGAGCTGATACTGTAATGGGGATGAATGTCCTTTGCATGTGGAAATGATGAATCTTTGGGTGTTGGTAGGCAGAATAATGGCTTCCCCTAAATGCCATATCCTAATCTTTGTAACCTGTGAATATGTTCCTTTCTATGGCAAAAGGTTTAAATGAGATCAAGGTTGCTCATCAGCTCATTTTAAGATAATTACTTTGAATAATTTGGCTATGAATATACAGAGCAAATAAAAAAATACATTTGCAGGAAACTAGTAAAAGTCACAGAAAAGGTAATGTCTGAGCTGAATTAAAAAGCAGCAGCAGCAAGAGGCCAGGAAGAAGAAATGGGGTATTAAGATGCATGATGCAAGAGTATACCATGGAGATACTCAAGCAAAAGTAAAAAGGAAGGCAAACTGTAGATTACATAAGTATCTTCTACTGCTTGTTTGCTAAAAGTTTTAGTTGCAGATCAATGTTGAATTTTATCTAATTTTTGTTATCTATTAAGATGATAGGATTTTCTGTTTATATGACAAATTACATATATTTTTCTAATGTATAACCGACCTTGCACATCCAACATCAACCCAACTTGGTCTTCATAAATTAGCATTTTTATATATGTTGTGTTTGTGTTACTGCTATTTTATTTAAGATTTGTCACTTTGGGAGACCGGCGGGTGTGGATAATGAGGTCAGGAGATTGAGACCCTCCTGGCCAACATGGTGAAATCCTATCTCTACTAAAATGCAAAAAATTAGTCAGGCTTGGAGGTGCCCGCCTGTAGTCTCAGCTACTCAGGAGGCTGAGACAGAATTGCTTGAACCCAGGAAGCAGAGGTTGCAGTGAGCTGAGATTGCACCACTGCACTCCAGCCTGGAGACAGTGAGACTCCAAAACAAACAAACAAAAAAAGATTTGTGCATTTTCACAAGTGAGATTTGCCTATAACTTTCATTTTTGTACAGTCTTTGTTGAGTTTTGGCATCAAGATTATGTTGGCCTCAGAAAATAAGTGGGAAGCATACCTACCTTTTCTGTTCTTCAGAAAAGTTTGTAAAAGACTGGCACTATTTCATCCTTAAATGGTTCACAGAATTCTTAGATGAAGTTACATGAACTTGCAGTTTCGCAGTTCTTCTTTGAATACATGTTTAAATTACAGATTCAATTTATTTAATAGTTACAGAACTATGTGGATGTTGTTTCTTCCACTGTCAGTTTTGGTTCCACTGTATTTTTCTAGAAATTCGTCAATTTCACAAAGATTTCAAATTTAAGCCATTTATAATGTATTATGTTCCTTTAGATATCTAGAGTCAGTGGTAATATTCCTTTTTTCATTCTTGGTGATGGCTGTGGTTTTTAAAAATTAGTCTTATCAATTTTATTAGGTTTTTCCCCCTATAAAAATTTTAACCCTATTTTTAAAAAACTGGTTTATTATCTGTACTGTATGTGTGTTTCCCATATTAATTTCTGCTTTTATCTTTTCCCTCTTCCTTCTTCAGTTAATTCTCTTGCTCATTTTCTTTCTAACTTATTGAAATAGATGCTTAGTTTGTAAAGTTTTCGTTTTTCTTCTTTTCTTACATAAGTAACTAAAGCTATAATTTTCTCCCTAGATACTGTTTCAGAGGCATCTTACAAATTTTGTTATGTAGCACTTTCATTTCAAAATATTTTGAAATCTTTCATTTCAAAATTTTCCCTCATTTCCATTGGGACTTTTCCACTACCTTTTGTTACAGATTTCTAGCTAATTGCATTGTGGTTGGGGAACACATATAATGATTTCAATCATTTTTACCCAGGAGCTCTACCAAATGACTAAGGAAGAAAAAAATACCACTCTTACATAAACTTTCAGTCCTGTGAAATTTGCTGAGGCTTGCTTTATAACCAATTTTTTTTTACAGTCAATATTTTTAAAAGAACATGTATTCTGTAGATGCTTGAAGGTATTCTATACATGTCCACTGGTTCAAGTCTGCCAATCCCAGTAATCTTGCATGCATTGTGCATTTTGTTTTGCAGTGCTTTATTTTTATTTACATGTTCTATTTCTAAGAAAGGTGTTTAAATCTCCCATTATGATTTGTGGATCTGCCTTTATCACCTTAAAATATTATTAGTTTTTTATTTATCTTGCGGCCATGTTATCACATTTATATAAATTTAGAATTACAGCTTCCTAGTGATTTCAACCTTTTATAACCACCACTTTATTTCTAATAATTTTTTTTTGCCTTACATTTTACTGTTTCTGATTTAATATAGTTTCCTTTTGGCTGATGCTTGCCTGAATATCTTTTCTAAACTGTTATTTCAGTATGTCTTTTTTTATTCTGGCTGCTTAAGAATTATTTCTCTTTGCCTTAATTTTCTGAAATTTCATTATTATATATATAGATGATAAATTTTGTTGTTTGTTTTTTGGAGAGAGGGGTCTTGCTCTGTCTCCCAGGCTGGAGTGTAATGGCACGAATATGGTTCATTGCAGACTCAACCTCCCAGGCTCAAGTGATTCCTCCACCTCAGCCCCCCAAGTGGCTGGGAATACAGGTCCATGCCTGGCTTATTTTTGTATTTATAGTAAAGATGGGGTTTTTCCATGTTGCCAAGGCTTGTCTCAACTCTTGAGCTCAAGCAATCCACCTGCCTCGGTCTCCCAAAGTGCTGGGATTATAGGTGTGAGCCACTGCGCCCAGCCTCAATAAATACTTCATTTTATTCAACCCCCTGGAATTTGCTGGCCTTCAGGAACCTGTAGACTGATCTTGTTCATCTGTTTGAAATATTCTTAGTTAACTCATCTTCAAATACTGCTTAAGCTCCGTTCAGGATTGTTTCTCTAAAGACTATCAGTTACCTTGTCAATAGTTCTAATGTAAGTCAGGAGACAGTAAAATAGTATATTCAAGTAACTACCAGACTAAAATTGTAAAACCAGTAAATATATCCAAAGAATGAAGGCAAAATAATTTTTAGACAAACAAAAAGCAGTCACTACCAAGAGACCCCTTTGAAATTTTCCTTTACAAAGAAAAATTTGTAAAGGGTATTCTTGGCAGAAGGATCTTATGAGAGGTGTAGAAATACATAAAGAGCAAAAAAAATAGTATGTGGATAAAGTCCACATGAACACTGACTATGCAAGACAACAATGATGTCTTATAGGTAGATGTGTGTATATATGTGTGTCTGAGTATAGAAACATGCTCATACTGTACAGAGAAAAGGAATAACATAAACAAAAACTGGTCAGTGCAAGAAAAGGTTAGAACAAAAAAAAGTGATGGAGACGTAGGATAAACAGAAGCATAAAGAAAGACCAAATTTAAACCCCAATAAGTAATTACATTAATTAAAAAATAGATAAAATTCTTCAATGAAAGAAAGATTTTTCAGACAGGATTTTTAAGAAATCAGTTATACAGTTGTCAAAACCCACAGAATTTACAACATCAAGAGCAAACTCTAATGTAACTTTGGGTGATAATGACATGTCAATGCAGGTAACATGTGCCACCGCGGTGTGGGATGTTCACAGTAGAAGAGAATGTACGTATGTAGGGACAGGGATAGGGTATATAGGAACGCTGTACTTTCTACTCAATTCTGCTGTGACCTTACTACTACTCTTAAAAATAAGAGTTTAGAAATAAGTAGTTCACTAATAACTTAATATTATATAAAATATATTCCTTTTTTTTTTTTTTTGAGACAGGTCTTCCTCTGTTGCCCAGACTAGAGTGGAGAGCAGTGATGCAATCACAGTTCACTGCAGCCTTGACCTCCCAGCTCAAGCAGTCCTCCCACCTCAGCCTTCTGAGAAGCTGGGACTATAGATGCATGCTACCACGGCTGGCTAATTTTTTTATTTTTTAATAAAGATGGGGTCCTTTTTTGGTAAAGATGGTAAAGTCTATTGCCCAGGCTGGTCTTAAACTCCTAGGCTCAAGTGATCCTCCCACCTCATACTCCCAAAGTGCTCGGATTAAAGGCGTGAGCCACCATGCCCAGCCTAAAATACATTTTTAATTTAAAACTGAAGCTATAATGGAAAAACAATGACTTCTAAAACTTCAATAATATAAAATATGAGGTAAAATATTACTTACTCTTAACTTTGTAGTCACCTGCTATGAAACATGAAACATTTAAGTCTAATAGACACAACCAAAACTTAATTTGAAATATATTTTAAGGAAAAATCTTGATTAAAGGAAAATCAATCTAAGTGTCATCAGACTTTATCCAGACAGTATTAACTATCCAAACTATTTACTGTGCATACAATCTTGCATGTTCTTCGCATGTACCCCCAAACCTAAAATGTAATAATAAAAAAAAATAAACTGACAATTAAAATAATAATAAAATTGGAAAATGGAAAAAAAAAGTCTTCCTGATTAAAATTATAAATTACCTACAAAACTGACTCTTGCTAATAGTTAAATATAAATTATGAACCAAAAACCATGCCAAGTACATGCATTACCTCCTACCATCTTTTCAACAGTATAATGTAGACATTTTCACAAGTAACAAAATGGAGACTCAAGTAAAATAACTTAGTAATAATAATCTGGGAGAGTAAACTTGGAATCCACATCTGTCTGACTACAGAATCTAAAGTCCTACCCACCACATCAGGGTTCCCCACTCCCGGGCCACAGACCAATACTGTCCATGGCATGTTAGGCCGCACGACGGGAGATGAGCATTGGGCCAGAAGGCACTACCACCTTAGTGGCACCTCCTGTCAGACCAGCAGCAGCATTAGATTCTCACAGAAGCACAAACCCTATTGTAAATTGCATATGTGAAGGATCTAGGTTGTACACTACTTATGAGAATCTAGTGCCTGATGATCTGAGGTGGAACAACTTCAACTTCAAACCATCTCCCAACCCCTACCCTGGTCCATGAAAAAACTGTCTTCCACAAAGCTGCTCCCTGGTGCCAAAAGGTTGGGGACCACTGTACTACATAACAGTAACTTCATTTCTACGTTAATTTCTTGATAAAAATATAATGATTCATAACTTGTACCCTAATTATACCAGATACTCTGCACACAAGCCAAAGCCATTTTCATTAAACAATGATTCAAAAGAAGTTTTAAAAGATAGTTTTCCAAGTAGAGATACGAAATTTTGTGTCAAAAAACCGTTATTCAAACTACAGTATATATGAATCAAAGTGCTTCTGTGGCTTTTTGCTCTATTTAAACCTATATTTGTTTAAGAATACAATCAAATTGAGATGTAGTATCCATCACTTTTTCATTTGTCAGAGTTAGTTTTAGGTCAACATATGGAATAAAATGGGATAGAAATGAGAGAAGACTACAATTATTAGACTACAATTAAAGCTGTCAGCATCTTGGAAGACAAGTAGTAAACAACATAACTGTGACAAACCAGAAAGATGATCTATCAAGAAGAAAATGAAATTCGATCAAGTGTGTGTGTGTTTTTTTTTTTCCTATGAGACAGGGTCTTACTGTCAGTAAGGATGCAGTGCAGTGGAGTGATCACAGCTCACTATAAACTCAAACTCCTGGGCTCAAGAGATCCTCCTGCCTCAACCTCCTGAGTAGCTGGGACTACAGGGACATGCTGCCACACTTGATTAATTTTTTTTTATTTTGGGGGGATAGGATCTTGCTATGTTGTCCAAGCCAGTCTCAAACTCCTAACCACAGCAATCTTTCCGGCTTGGCCTTCCAAAGCACTAGATTACAGGTATGAGTCACTGCACCTGGCCTAAATGCTTATGTATTGTAATTTACTATTTACTATCTTCCATCCACCAAACACTGTATTGGGCATTGGGACTACAGAGAAAAAATAGTGAAATAAAAGCTACAATACAAACAGGTACGCACAAAATATCATGGCACCTCACTTGAGGGGCAATAGGAGAAACTGGTAAGAAAAAAGATTAGAGAAAACTTCCTTTTGAAGATGTAGTATTTGACCTAAGTCTCAAAGGATAAACAGGAAACAAAACAAATGAAGAAAGGTAAGAAACAAGATAAAGTCACAGAAGCAAGAAAGCACAATACATTTAGAGAACTGAAAAGGTTTAATGTAAGATATATGTATGGCAAATGTTGGGGAATAAGGCTAAAGAGAGAAATATGGTTTACATAAAGGGTCTTCGTGTGGATGAATTTTATCTAGAAAGCCACTGGCGGAGGTTAAATATGGTAAGACATGAAAAATAGTAATCTAGGTTAAAAAAAAAACCTAAGGTCCTATACTAAGACAGTGACCACGGAAACACAGAATGGGACAAACATGAAAATGTTATAGAAACAAACACAGAGAATGACAGAAAAGAAAACATTAAGAAGACAGGCAGGTTTCTACTGTCATTACCCGAGTGGACATTGATGCTGTGACTGAAGAGATACAGGATACTAACTATGGTGATACCTCAAAGTAATGAATAATTCTCATATTTCACAGATTAAGGAAAGGTTTTCAGGAGGAAGTGATACCTATCATGGGACATAAAAGATGAACAGAAATTAAGACAATGGGTGAGAGTCTGAATGTTGGCAGTGAAAGAAGTACTGAACAATGGCAACGATGAGCCTAGATAAGGAAGAAGGAGCAGATCAAAAGTGCTTTATAAGCCACAGTAGGACTTTTGGGTTATAGCATTCCAGTATTGGAGAGCTTTGTTATAGTTATAAGGAAGACAATGAAAGGATCACATTTTTATTTCAGAAAAATGACTCTAACTACAACATGAAAATAGACTGCAGGAAGAGACTGAAATTAAAGGGGGAAGAGGGAGGGAATACAAAAACAACCCAAATAAAAGACAGCAGCAGTAAGCTGAGTTAGAATGAATGGTGTTAGTGGGAACTTACATAACGGGTAAGTGGACATATCTGGTGTCTAGCCAGACTAGGTATCTACATGTTAAGAGTTAAAGCGTAACATACACTTTTCTTTCTTTTAAATAAATAGAGACAAGGTCTCTCTATGTTGCCCAGACTGGTGTCAAACTGGACTCAAGTAATCCTCCAGCCGCAGCCTTCCAAAGCACTGGGATTACAGTGTGAGCCACCTCACCCTGCCCATATTTTCTTTTAATACAACCCCCTACCAACCCAGTCATTCACCTGTGTTTTTGTTTTTCCTTAAACAATTTACCAACTTACAAAATGTACAGACCTTTTTAAAAATTAATGATAGTCAAAATGTTTTAACTGTAACAACAGCTCAAGAAAATTAAGAAAGCCTTTAAGAAGAAAGTACATTTTGAGACGGACTTTGAAAGATTATCACCATCGAATCTCTAATGGATTAAGAAAAATAAGCAAAATCTGGCCAGATGCCGTGGCTCATGCCTGTAATCCCAGCACTTTGGGAGGATAAAGCCAAGAAGACTGCTTGAGCCCTAGAGTTCAAGACAAGCCTGGGCAACATGGTGAGACTCCATCTCTACAAAAAAAATAAAAATAAACAAAATCTGTACTTAAAATGTAAAAGGTGACAGCTAGAATTCTTACATGTGAAAGAATGGTAACGCCACCCATTAACAGAACACAGAAAAGGGGCAAGGCATGTGTGTGTAAAGACAGACTGAATGGGAAAGACAACAGTAAATAAAGGTTTTGTTTTTACTAAATACAAATTTGAACAGGCTGCATTAGACGTTCCGGTGAGACATTTAAGTACTAATATCAACTATACAGGTGTATTATATTCAAGACTGAGACAGAAGTATCTGATACTCAAGAGAGAAAAGTGGGCTGGAGATGGTAATTTTTATGTCAGCAGGATGTGCATGGTAATTGAAACTCTGAGAGTAGATAATACTCAAGAATAAACAGAGTGAGAAGTATGATGGCCTAGGACATATCCCTAAAAGTCATCTACATTTTATAGATTGGTAAATAAATAAATGATGCCCATAAAAAGAGATGGAGAAGATGCAGCCAGATAAGTTAAAATGGAAACTGAGTATCTTAAAAACTAAGCGAGTCTTTTTAAAAAACTAGAAGTCAACAATATTCAATGCTGCCAATTAAGTTAAAGACCCAAATGTTACAGCATTTAGCATCAGGAAGATAATCTTAAAAACAATTTCAGTTAAGAAAGGGGGACTGGAAGACAAGGCAGAAGAAACTGTAAGGACAGGCAACTCTTTCAAGAATCCTAGTTATGAAGAGGACACACAGAATATAGAGACTACAGGGCAGGCATCCCCAAACTACGGATTGCGGGCTGCATGCGGCCCCCTGAGGCCATTTATCCAGCCCCCCGCCACACTTCAGGAAGGGGCACCTCTTTCATTGGTGGTCAGTGAGAGGAGCACAGTATGTGGCGGCCCTCCAACGGTCTGAGGGACAGTGAACTGGCCCCCTGTGTAAAAAGTTTGGGGACGCCTGCTATAGGGATTTGTAATTGAGGGAGAATTTTTTAATGGTCTTTCTTAACATGTTTTCTGAAAGGAAGTAACAAGTAGAGCACAAAGGAGGTATCAACAGAAGAGGTTCCTGATACAGTTGCAGATGGGATTTAAAGCATAAATGAAAGACAATCTTTCAATAGAGGAGAAAAGAATACATATAAATAAGTCATTAGAGGATATGTGTATTTTCTACTCACATGGGCTTACATAAGTTCTTCTAGAAGAGAAAATTTATGTAAGTTTGGATACATCTGTATATTGAAATTTTAACAATGGTGTCTTCTGTGAAATGGGATCATGGTCTATATTATTATTTTTGTCCTATTTTCCAAATTTTCTACAATAAGCACACAACTTTTTAAAAATGGCTTTGTCCTTTAAATAATAAAGAATAATTCATTAACAAAGAAAATTCAGAAAACAAAAGCAGAAAGGGAGAAACAATACCTATAACCCACTAATGAATTGCTTTCATAGGTTGAGAAAATACATAAATGGCAGTTACATTACTTCATTCTCTCAGACAACGGAATGTTAATAGAAACACTGGATTAGAATAATCCAAAATTTTCAATTGATTCTTTAACTGATTCAGACCCAGAGAAAAGGGTGAATTCTGATATCCTCTTAGCTACCTAAGTCTCTCTTTTAAAAAAGAATTGTTAAGTCTCTGCTTAAACAGGTAGAATTCAGATATTTGGGCCTATCAATTTAGAGCTAAATTTTGAATGCTGCCTTCCTTCCTGGTCATAATCATTTTTGCTAAGTATTAATTATAAATAACATCCATTAGTAACATTCACGATGACTGGCAACCATTTTTTAAAAAGAGAAATTTTAAACGGAGGCTTACAGTTGTGGTAAATTTGGTCTAACAAAGGGATCATTTTCTGCTCCATTGACTGCTTTGTTTTTCCTTTGTTTTGGTTCAGAATTGGTAGAGGGTGCCTGAGAATTATTAGCTGTGGGAGGTTTGCGTTTGGCTAGAAGTTTCCTTTGCCTTTCAATATCTTCCCTTTGCTGATTCACCCATTCTTGTTGCCTGTGTAAAAATAAACAAATAAAACCAAATTAACCTTGTATTACTTTTCACAGTTAAAATAGGGAAAAAAATGCACAAAAAACATGAAAAATCAGGTAATATAAATTGGTAAACTTTTGGTTCCACTTTTATGAACCAACTTGTACTTATCCTTCAGGGTTCATTTGAAATGACTGTTTTTAAATGAGGTGTTCTCTAAACTCCTAGATTGGGGAAAGATGTGTTGCCATATGTAATTTCATGGGACCTTCTGTCTCCCCATCTCATCCTTTCTAACAAATATCATTCCTACAGATACTTCATCAGAAAGTGTCCGGTTAGACAACATCACTCCCTAAGAACAGAGATCATGTCTATTTATACAGTATCCTGTTGTATCCCTAGTACCTAGTGACCAGCACTTACCTGTTGCTCAATAAATGTTTCTTGAATGAAATAAATGAGCTAAAACAAGCCCCTAAACCATTAAAGTATGGGGTACATGTTATATATGCATCACAATATTTGCTAACAAATTTACAAAATGCAAATATGAATTTAATATGAAGAGTTAATTTCTAAATTTACTTTTGAAAAAAAAATGGGACTGATGTTTTGAAATGAAACAAATTAAACTTAAGAAATTTGCGAAAAATATAATTTTGATAATTTAAGGGAAAAAAGAAAATAGGAAGAAAAATTAGCATGGCTTTGAAAATGGGCAATTAACAAAAGTAAAATTAATGCTTCCCATTCAAGAATCTGAAACATTTTTGCAAATAGCTCCGTAATTCTAAAAACTAATAGACACTATGTCTATTATTAAAATGCAGATTCAATATTTTAGCAGTTTGAGCAGAGCATTAAGTAGTTAAAAGTGAAGCTTTTTAAAACCAACTTATCATACAACACCTTAAGCTTATTCTAACAGTAACCATGTTCTCTTTCAGGTCACCTCACTATGCCAATAAAACATTTAAAATCCTACATGGTTATGATACTTAGGTTTAGCGAAAGTCAAATATTTCACAACCTCCTCTCCTCAACCACTCAAACGAGAACTATAGGGCTCCTACTTTTTCAGTGTAGAACTGACCTTACACACATCCCCTTCCCTATGATTCTAGTGAGGAAGCAGCGGAGTATGATAGGAGTGAAAAAACGTCAAAAAGAACCTAGGTAGAAGATTAAAACAGTAGAGAAAAATCTCAAGAATGGCAAAGTGAGAGCAAGACTTTAACCCAGTTTTCATTTAGAAACAGGAATAAATTTCAATTTTTAATAAGTAAATCTTAAGGCTATTTTAGGACACAATCAAGATGGTATAAATGCAAATAAGCAGTAATAATACTAATGTTTAAAATATTAATGGAAAGTAAAGAATTACTGGAATAGGTATTAACAGCTGATTATTCAGGGATGACTAGAGAGTAATATTATTACTTTTTATTTAATTATTTATCTCATCTTCTAACCACTTTGGGTTCTGTAACTGATTATAAACAGCATGATATACACATAGTAGGTCCTCAATAAATGCTTATTAGTGACAGTCAGGACATACAAGTAATTATTTTCTTTTTTGACAGTTATTTTTTTAGACAGCCTCGCTCTATTGCCCAGGCTGGAGTGCAGTGGCATAATCTTGGCTCACTGCAACCACCCAGGTTCAAGCAATTCTCATGCCTCAGCTTCCCAAGTAGCTGGGATTACAGGCGCACACCACCAAGCCTGGCTGATTTTTGTATTTTCAGTAGAAATGGGGTTTTGCCATGTTGGCCAGGCTGGTATCAAAATCTTGACCTCAGGTGATCCACCCACCTTGGCCTCCCAAAGTGCTAGGATTACAAGCATGGGCCACCGCGCCTGCCATCTTTTCTGACAGTTAAGTGGTGAAATTGGAACCACTGGTAGAATTTATATTTTAGAACATTCATATTAATTCTATAACCCTCTCTTTTATTCATTGCAGGACAATTACAGGTCTGGGTTTAGCAGCAGAGCCTTTTGCTCATAAAACACTAAAAAATTATCTTCTCCTGCTTTTCACTTTACTGTTGATATGTTAGTTCATGCCTTAATCACTTTTCATCTGGATACCCCTCTGTCTTAACTGCCAATAACATTTATCCTCTTTCTAATAATACACTCACATTACTATCAGTTATTATTCTACAACTATCCCTGTAGATATAATTCCGATCACGTACACTAAAGGTAAGCCTTTAACAAGTCCCATTATCAGAATTAAAACCCAAACTCCCTAATAACACAGGGAGTGTTATCCTTTATCCTTTGTTTCACTGTGGTATAACTAGCACAGCTATGTTGAACAAAAGTTGAATAAATCTGCTAAGAGAGAAGCCCATTCTGCGGCAACTCCTAGGAACCAGTGCTTGAACAGCAATGTTGGTGTGATACCATGTGAAAGCAAGCTCTGCCTCTATTTCAAATAACTCGATACTCTGGAAAAGCTGATGTTCATGCTGGAATTACTTCTGATTTTCAGGTTTAAAGAAATTTTCCACCTCCCACCCCTCAAAAAAGAGTAGCATATTTAGCACTCCTTAACACATAAACAGCCAATCAATCCTTATCTACCACCATCTGAACTCATGAAGAAAATACGGTAACTATAATTTTTGTTTTAAAGTTTGATCAGAAATGCACCAGAAAACCAAATACCACATATTCTCACGTATAAGTGGGAGCTAAACATTGGAGACATATGGGACATAAAGATGAGAATGACAGAAACTAGGGACTACAAAGATGAAGGAGGCAGAGATGGGACATGGACTGAAAAACTATTGGGTAGTATGCTCACTACCTGAGTAATGGGTTCAGTTGTACCCCAAACCTCAGTATCATGCAACAGACCCCTGTAACAACCTGCACATGTATCCCCTGAATCTAAAATAAAAGTTGAAATTAAAATAAATAATGAATAGAGTTTACCTCAGAAATGCTAATGTCACATGTTTAGTTTAACTGATATGAGTTACTATATCTAAGGAAAAAGAGAAGTTTTTTTTCCTTAGGAATAGAAAGCAGGCAAGTACTGAATATTATAAGGAGAGAGGAATTGGAAAAAAACGCAACTCTTCCACTGAAAATTAAATTTTCAACAATTTTTCTCCCAAGATATCATCTGTAAAGCTAAAGGTTCAGTTCATACTTCGGAAAGTCCGAGTTAGAATAACATATTATACTCTATAGATGAGTGCTAATTAACCAAGAAATCTACTGTAATAGATTTAAAGCAAATCTATAATAAAGCAAAAACTGTAATATTCTTGGTTTCATATCCCTTTCAAATGTACTAAATTCTGTGATTTCAGCGTAGTGAGGAATTGTAGAGCATAATTACAAATCTATAATCTTTTAAAGTAATGAAAACCCAAATGAATACGAAAAACTTTTAAATGTTAAGAATGACTAACTTCACAAGATTCTGAAATGCAAAACCATCTGTCCACTGCTCAGTAAATGAAGCGCCATGTCTAACTGTTGTAAAGTGCCCAAGGCGTAATCGATCTTGCATACTCTTCTCTCTGCTTGACAGTTTTTCTTGCGTACTCTGAAAAAAAGGAGAAAAAAAATGATCACTCAGTTTTATTCATTAATTTTATAAAAGCATATAAAGCACAAGGGACTAATGAAGGAGAAGGGAAAATTCACTCAACTTTTAACCTACCTTTTCAATAAGAAGTTTCTTGCTCATTGATATGCACTTATTTAATCGTTCTTTATATTTTTCAAGTAATTTTTGTTGTTCATCTATTTGCCGTCTGAGATCACAGTTAGCCTATGACATAAGTAGAAAATGCAAAAGGTCTAGACCGGGGAATATGAAAAGCTTAGAAATATTTTTAACGTTCTAAATAAATTATATACAAATAGGATTAATAATATTAAATATCTGAGTATGAAACAAGAAAAAAAGCCTATTTAACCATGAGATAATACTGCTAAATGTTATTTAAGTGTGCAGTGAAAAGTACATATAGGGAAATTTGTATCCATATCCGTACATTCAAATTCACACTCTAAGGTTAACTTTGGCTAAGTTAAGTAAGTTACACGAACCTTAGTTCATCTTTCTTATTTCTAAATAGAGGCAACACAATCTACCTCACTTTGTTAAAAATAACTAAAATATGGTATGTGAAGTGTCTATCGCTTAAAAATAAACGTGAGTTTTCCTCTATCTCTTGTAACTAACAAAATACTTTCTCCATTGAACTTATAGATAACATACACAAGTTGCCTACCCAACAACTGTCCTTACCATTCTTCCTTAGCAACAGGATACTAATTCTGTTCACTTTATAGGTAGCTACATGCTCAGGGAAGAGGCCTCTAACAGCAACAGATGAATCTGATTAATACAGTGGCAAGAGAATAACCTATAGGGCTTGTTACTACAGATTACGGAGAACCATTCCCAGAGCTTCTGAGTCAGGTCTCAGGAAGGATCTGAAAATTTCCACTTCTAATAAGTTCTCCATTAATACTGACGCTTCTGATCTGAGGATCATTACACTTTGAGAATCATAAGTGTAGGCCAACCATGGTAGAATCCAACAGACAAGGGCATACTATCTTGAAAGTACTGAGAGAAAATAATTGCCAAACCCAAATTAGATACCCAATAAAACTGCTTTTCAAGGAAGAAGAAACAGAATATAGCACCAACAGACCCTCAGCAATTCAGACAAAATCTCAACCATGTGTGTGTATGATGTGTATGCAACTTGAAACCTGATTCTAAAATTTCTCTAAGACTGAAAAGGGCCAAAAATAGCCAAAATGAACAAGTGGCTATCTGTTTAACCATGTATTATGACTTAATATAATGCTACACAATTATGATTACTGAAGCCCCTTCTTCCTTAATAATGGAAATTCAATGTTTTATACTGGATTGCTATCCGCCTAGCCAAAAGCCTACATTTCCCAGCTCCCCCTGCAGCCAAGGATGGTTAATGAGATGCAAGCAGAAGTTGTTTAATGAGATATACAAGAAGGCGGCACACAGAATTGTGCTTTTTCTTCTCTACTCCTTCCCCCTTCCCCCATTATCTGCTTAGAATGCAGACATCTAATTGTGACCCTAACAGATATACTGAATCTTGATGTGACCTATGAGATATAAGCCATGAACTAACAATGACAAGGTACCATATGATACTGAGGAGTAATAATATCTGAGCTGCCTATATCTGTTCTTTTCTTGAAAAATGAGCTTCTATCTCATTTAAAGTACTGTTATGTTCTCTGTTACTACCAGCCAAAAACAATTGCTACATGATAAAAAGACGCTGCAGTACTTGTGTAGAGACACACAAATAAAACAAAGAAACATGATTCAGAACACAGAAATAGATCCACTTGTATGGAAACAAGATTTTATGACAATAGAGCTGGCAGTGTAAGAATAAGCTAAACAGTTTAGGGATGAACAACCAGTTATCCATATAGCAACTGAAATAAAACCCTACACATCATGCCATACCAAAAACCAATTTCAGTCGGATTAATAATTTATACTGAAACATCAGCTGGGCATGGTGGTTCATGCTGGTAGTCCCAGCACTTTGGGAGGCCGAGGTGGGAGGATCACTTGAGGCCAGGAGTTCAGTATCAGCCTACAGACTCCTGGCTTTACAAAAAAATTTTAAAAATCAGCCTAGAGTGACGACATGGGCCTATACTCCTAGCTACTCAGGAGCCTCAGGTGGAGGTGGAAAATATTGTTTAAGCCCAAGAGTTTGAGGCTACAGTGAGCTATGATCCTCCCACTGTGCTCTAGCCTGGGTGACAGAGTAAGACCCTGTCTCTTAGGGGGATAAAAATCACCCGACCAAAAAACTCTTGAGCAATATCTGGTATTATACAGTAAAATGGAAGATGTGTATGCCCTGTACTCTGGCCATGTCTTTCCTAAACACATACCACAGAAAAATTTTTTCATATTTGCCCTAGAAGACACATACAAATAATGTTCTTAGAACTGTTTATATTAGAAAAAATAAAAATAAAATGTCAACTAAAAGAAAAGATACAGAAATTATGGCATGCTCATGTTAACACCTTACAATATTGCAGTGAAATGAACAAACTACAGTTATACTCATCAAAGTGGACAACTCTCTGATATATAATGTTGACTGAAAACAAGCTGGGCAAAAGGGTCCATATAGGAAAATTTCACTTAAAGTTCAAAAACCGACTGAAATAATATACTGTTAAGAATGTAAGCACATATTTAATACAACCATAAAGAAATACCAAGGCATAAAATAGTGGTTAAATGGTAAATGGGTTTGAGAGAGTAAATATGACAGGATCAGGAAAAAGACACACTGGATGTTTCAAAGGTACTGCCAAATACAGTAGGATCACAGGTATTGGTTTTATTGCATTTCTATGCCAATAGTTCTCAATGCTGGCTTAAATTAGAATCATCTGGAGAGCCTTTAAAACTACCAATGTCCAAGACCTACGTCACGCCATCAATTTGATCAGAACACCTCAGCGTAGATAGAGTTCAGGCATTAGTACTTTCACCCTTCTCATCTAGTCTAAGGAGAAGCATGGGGTAAGAACGGCTGCTTTAAAACCTTATATTCTAAGTATACTTCTAGATGTATTTTTAAATAGTTTCCATAAAAATGCTACAGAACTGCAGGAGTTACTTCGTTCTATATTGTATAAGATGTCAGGCATATAATAAAATCAATAAGCTTTAAAACTAACATGAAATGGCTATTTGTGTTAGGTTAATTGGTCCTATGTTATTAACTTCCAGTTTGCCAACAGTTTATGAATTCCCAATTTATTAAAGATCTAATAAAATATTTCATATTAAAATCAGCATTTTCAATCATGTACTTAAACTAACAGAAAAAGCTTATTGTATTCTAGCTACAGAAATTTTATTTTATTTTATTTTATTGATTGATTGAGACAGAGTCTGGCTCTGTCACCAGGCTGGAGTGAAGTGGCACAATCTCAGCTCACTGCAACCTCTGCCTCCTGGGTTCAAGCAATTCTCCTGCCTCAGCCTCCTGAGTAGTTGGGACTACAGGCACATGCCACTACGCCCAGCTAATTATTGTATTTTTAGTAGAGATGGGGGGGTTTCACCATGTTGGCCAGGATGGTCTCCATCTCTTGACCTCACAATCCACCAGCCTCGGCCTCCCAAAGGGCTAGGATTACAGGTGTGACCCACCACACCCAGCCTAGCTACGGAATTTTTTTACAATGCTAAGTATTTTTTGAATACTTTGTTGCCAAATAATTTACTCAGTTTTTTCCCCTCTATGACTCATTACTTACCCTGAGCAAATCATCTATACGTCCTTCCTTCTTTTCCAGGTCCTGGATTTTATTACTTTCTAATGCTGCTAATTTCAGCATTGTGAGATCAGTCTAAACGAAAAGAAGCTATTTTATTATCTCTATTATATATGCTATTTCAAGCAAACATAAAACTAGATTTTACTCCAAATTCAAAAGGCAAAGAAAAACGTATTTGTAAAGTGAATCTCAAAAAGTTTTAGTGCAGTGTTAATAACCTCAAGTGTATAAATGCTACACAGTTACCAAGAAACATCTAAAGAAGATCAATTACTCAAAATATTGACATTCCTCATTACAATTCAATACATCCACTGCTTTCTTCTATACATTCCTCTAGTTGATTTTTTGAATTTTGCAAAACCTTTTTTAAATTAGTAAGTAAAAACTGTATGTATTTATGGTATACAACATGATGTTTTGATATATGTATACATTGCGGAATGGCTAAATCAAGTTATTTAACATATATCATTTTTTGTGGTGTGAATACTTAAAATCCACTCTCGTAGCAATTTTCATATACACAAAATATTGTTCTTAACTGTAGCCCCCATGGTGTATAATAGATCCCTTGAACTTACTCTTTCAAACTAAAATTTTATGTACTTTGACAGACATCTCATGCAGCAAAACCTTTCATGATCTACTCAGTGGCTGAAAGGAATGTACTTGTAATCCTAGCCTCAGGATAATCTAAAGAAAGAGTTTTTGATACATACACAACCGTTTGGACATGACCTCACAAATAAAAGTCTAATGGAAATCATCTGCAAGCTGAAGCTGTTGAAGAGTAAGACCTACTCTCCCAAACCCCAGTCTGAGAAAGTGCCTATTCAGAAACTGTCACACGCAAAAAAATTATAATGAAAAACTTAGTACTCAAAATTCATCAAACTAAAAAAGTGTAAAAAATATACAAATAATTCAAATAATTTTATATAATTTGTCACATATACATATATACATAAACATAGTCAAATGAGAAGCTTGATGTCCACTCATAACAAATACTGCACCTTCACAAAATATCAATTACATATACTTGGATCTTAAGTTCTAAAAGAATCAGTAAAAAGAACATGTTACAGGCATTTTAAAAGCTGATAGTAAATTGTGTGTTTCAGTTTCTCACTCCTTCCTACAAATTCTGTTGTTTTTGTTTAGTAAGTTATCTTTCTTGATGTGTAATTCTGCTTTACGACTTCACATAAAACAAACAACAGACATCTTAATTGTTAGTAAGTTAGTCAACGGTTTCTTAGAAGCCATAGAAAAATCATTTTAATTATCATTTACCTGAATAATTTTAAAGGATAACTGCTTTGGTTGTACAATAGGGTGGTCCCCAAATGCTAATGCAGTAGGAGAAGGGCTATTCGGTCGAACCTAAAAAAATTATTAACATTTTTACATTAGCAAGAAAAAAAAAGTAGGTTTCTAATTAGCAACAGTTACTTAACATCTCTGAAGAAGTTTCTATCAGAATAACGCCTGAATTGAAACATAATTCAATTTTAAAAACTTTTAATCACCATTTATTCAACAAGCTTTCATTAAGTACCTCCTACATAAGCCCCACTGAGAAATTCAACAATATAATCCCTGCCCTCATGGAGCTTACATCTAGTGTCATAAAAGAAATCTAAATGCTTTCATATTGTTAAAAAAATACAGCCAAATAAATTCTGAAAAATATTAAAAATTGATTATGATAGTTCAAAAAAATAAATGTAGTACTGGGGACAATAACACATGCCCATATGTAGTTTAATATCAATTTATTCATGAATTTCATGGTTTATCTGGTCACCAGTTCAAAAAAAACCTCATTGAAAGCAGATTACAATATTTTATCAATGCTATCACTATAACCCTTAAAGTTACTGTTGAATCTTATGCCTTACTTTATACACGGCAATGTGAATCCTGCAAGGTACAAAATGAGTAAGACATAACCAAGTACATCTAAAGACAAGGATAAGAAGGGGACACAAGAAATAAAATAAGGGGCTTGAATAGACAAGTGAAACTCTGATTTTTAAAAATCTTTAATTCATCTTTTCATTACTGAATACCAATACTGTTTTCTCTAGTTAGATACTGAACTTTCAAACAATGAAAGTAAATTAAAAAACGAAATCCAATATGCAAAACAATGCATATAAAAGAGCCATATCTAAAATGTTAGGAATAAACCAAAAAGTTTAAGATAATTTTAAGTCCAAGATTCTTTTCCTATGCTGAACTACACACCCTGACTTTTATTACCAGAAAGAAATTATGCTATCATTTTAGGGGTTAAGAAATTCAATTTTTAATAAAGTTATAAATTAGGAATCAACAACTGAATACAGGCTGATACAATAGTACTCATGTTAGTCCCACAGACTCAAAAGGTATTCTCTTACAGAAACAATGCTTCTTGGATATAATTAATTCAGAAAATCTTTAAGAGGCTCACTTTCAGAAAAAAAATTCCAATAGCATCGGATCATTTAAAAGGATTTAACTCATGCCACAGAAATAATGTATTAAAAGATAAACACTAACTTATTTATATAGAAGTTCTCAATAAAAACAACAAATTATAAAACGTATTCAATGTACGTAACTTCCAAAAGACTATGCATGTAAAAACTTGAAAGATGACTTACAGAGGAGGAAGGAGTGGAATGTGAATGTGAATTCTGAGGAGAACGGATTGCAGGAGGTATGCCTCTCACTGGACTTGAGCCATTTCCACCCTGGTACTGAGAAAAAGGAAACATTACTATTTACTAAAGCAGGCTCAGATAGTTGTTATTTTAGACATGACATTAAGAATTAATCTAAAGATGCGTAATTTAAACATAAGTAGTCATTTCAATAGGTCCAGAACAAAAAAAACTAAGGTCAGCTATAGCCAGGTCCTGAAAGACCTAAAAGACAGAGAGACTACTGATCACAAGAACATAACAAAACTGTTTTATAAAGATCCTTATACTCTATATTCTGACAATAATCTGTTATTTTACTCAAAGACAAATAAATTCCTCCAAAACAATAAACGTATTTTGTTTTCCCCCAAAATCCTACCACAGATACCCTACAAATGTTTATTGACCCATACAGTCCCTAGTCCCAAGAAATTAAAAAATGTTTACACATAGACGTTAGTGAACATAATCAACTATTTTAAACAGAATATTGTTCTCAAGACATCCAAGTGTTCATGGCATTATATAAAAAGAATTATAACAGGTCCCTTGCCTCTAACGGCACAAAATCTTTAAAAAATCAACTCCTTTGTACAAAGTGCATGACTTAGCAGCATATGAAGAGAAGCCAGCTGATCTGTTCCACAAACTACCTTTTCTCCTATTTCTTGTTTCCATATGAAGGATGGGAAAATAAAATAACTTGCTGCTACCAACTTCATCTGGGGGTGTAGATTATTGTCCACTTCATTATTTCTTGTTTAATTACTTTACTTACATAAATAGCACTGATGGGGACTTTCTAGCATATTCATTAAACAACTTCCTGCAAGGGATTTTGCCTTATTTTATCAATAGAGCCTAGCATTAAATTCAGCACATAGTAGGCATTCAAGAGACATTTGTTTATTTGAATTGATCTTACCTTTGGCAAAGGTTCTTAATTAATGATATCAGGAAGTGACTGACCTCAACCAAAGAGCATTAGGTATATCTCAAGGTCAGCAACTGCTTTACCACAGATTTTACAAACCCAAGAAAGAAAGCAGTGGTGGATTAAAAAAATTTTTTTTAATTTAGCCCTTCCCTTAATCAGCCAATTCTACTCTTACTCTCAAGTAAATATAAATATTTTCAGTTGAGGAGATCATGTTTGTTGTTTTAATAATCACATTTAGAAATTTTTAAATTTAAAACTGGTGATCAAAAGTGTTTCTATACAGAAGCAAGGTAACATTCCAGATTGGGTAAGAATCTAAATGTATTGTTTTCACATGCTCTTAGATTCAAGCCTCTGTCAAACATTTAATCTCTATCGACAGGGCTCAAATGTTGCTGTGATGTGATGAAGTCTGTATTGACAGTAGAAAAATTCTGAATTAGAGAGCCAGTAAACTTCAAGTTCTATTCTTTACTCTTTAATTTAGCATTTGCCTTAAATGGGTTAACCCATTTATGCCTAGTGTTCCATTATTGCTCAAGGTCACCGTCAAGGTCTGATAGCAAAAAAAATTCAAAAAATTGCAATGTAGGCTAATTTACATTTCTCATCTTCAGTTTCATCATCTGTAAACTGAAACACTAATCCCTATTTTGCTTATCATACAGGTTATTATAAACAAATGTGAGAACTGGAGATAATCCTCAATGAACTTACTTCAAAATAGTCGCTAATTTTGTGGCCACGTCCCCCAATACTTTTTCCTAAAATATAAGAAGCACATGATGTTAGTAGGGTAGTGATGGGCATCAAAAAAATATTCAGAGTCTGCAGGACATCAGCTATCAATTTCACAAATATGAAAATCAAATGACATTCAATAGAGACATGCCGATTTTCAAAAGTTCCAGTTATTGAAGAATCATATAAATGATAAAGTGATCTCCTGTTTTAAAACTATATTATTAATACTGCTTAATAACTGAATTTCAGAGAAACAAATTAGTAAATAAGAAAAGTGGCGACTGCATCATTGACAAACTAGCTTTTATCTGTAAACAATGATAAAAACAGCTTTAGTTATACAAACTCTAACATGATTCCTGTCAAACTGACAGTAATATGCTTCAATAGGAATGCTATTTTGTCAAATGTATTTTAATTTTCTGAAAAGCATTCCCAAATTAAAAAGTTTTTTAAAAACTAGTTTTTAAATACTGCTCATATATGACCATACTGACAAAGTAAACCAGCTCATTAGAGATCACACTACTTTTTAATTAAATAGTTTGCTCTAAAATGGACGCTTCATCAGTCCTGTAAGTTTTAAATTAAGAACTTGCTAAGAAATACGATGTTTAGAGATGTTTTCTTGGGGGAGAGGTAGCCATCCTTGGCTGGAACTATATAGAATATACTATTTCTTCAAGTTACAACTAGTGACATCACAAAGTCAAAAGCTTTGCCTAATATAAACATATATATTTATCAATTCATTGCTGACTTATTTCATGACTCATTTATTTATTCAACAAATATTTCTTAAGTGGTTACTATGTGCCAGGTATTACTGAGGTGAACAAACAATATTCTTAGAAGTTCAACAACTTTAAATTCCTTTTTGGAACTATATGGGGAGTGAATTTTTAAAAACTAAACAAGTATTCAGGACTACCAATGCTACCTAGAAATTCTGAATGTTATTTCTGCGCAGATTTATTTAGAGGCCAGAGATGATTGTAAAGGTCTTATACTAAAGGGATTTCCCTTCCACCTTCAATAATTTCTCTGTAGATTGTAAAGAGGTGGCATCTTTTAATGAAGACAGATGGTTTGGATGCCAACTCCAGAAGCTATTTCCCCAAATCTTTTTCCTTAATTGAATTAAAATTTTGTTCTCTTAACACCCTTCGCCCTAGGTAGCACATGTAACTTCAGAGGAAGCTGACTCCTATACAACTTCCACTCCCAGGTCCCGTTGTCTCCTTATCAGAAATCCAATTTTGTTCAGGTATTATCCCTTCTCCATACAGGCTGTATGTTTAAGAAGTTAACTCCATTTCCAGTTTCAAACGTAGGCCTGATTTTTTTTTTCTTTTTTCAAATTTCTGACACTATCCACCTAGAGGATGGCCTGATTTTTTTTAAGGCAATAGTACCTATGTTGGTCATAACTAGTTTTGGAATGGACACATGACCAATCTGGTTCGTAAGATCAGTGGCTCCCCACCTTTTTGGCACCAGGACCAGTTTCATGTAAGACAATTTATCCACAGACTGTGGGAAGCTGGGGAGATGGTTTTGGGATGAAACTGTTCCACCTCAGATCTTCAGGCATTAGATTCTCATAAAGGAGTGCATAACCTGGATCCCTTGCATGTGCAGTTCACAATAGGGTTCACACTCCAATGAGAATCTAATGCTGCTGCTGATCTAATAGGAGGCAGAACTCAGGTGGTAATGCTCACTGGCCCACTGCTCACCTCCTGCTGTACAACCCAGTTCCTAACAGGCCAAGGACTGGCAGCCCGGGAGGTTGGGGAGCCCTGCGTAAGATGAGAGGAGAGGTCTGCTTTGGACTTGAAGTCAAGTTTACTCCAAAGGAAAGGGAGAAAAACACTGAAAGCCAGACTCTCTAAAGCAAATATAAGTGAGGAAGGTGAAAGGAGCAAAACCAAAATAGGCAACCATTCTGAAAACAAAGATAATCAGACAACTATTGATGGCAGACTGCAAAGAAAAAAACATGGTGCAACCAACCCAGAAGCCTCATCTTATTTGGGAGCTTGTTTCTGAGTTTTTAGAACAGTCGAAACTATCATAATTCTGTCTTTACAACAAATAAAGCTTCAAGTCCACTAACTACAACTTGAGGGAGCTACACTAAGACCAAAAAGGAGCTCAGTGTAAACGGAGATACAAAATACAATACACCTAAGAAAAGGCCCTAAAATGACTTACCCTTTTCTTCCACAAAGACAGTTGCTATAAATATATTCCTTGCTTCCAGTGCCCTATATAAACCAGTAAGTCATGGGTTCACAGCCATAGATCTTATGGCTAAAGATTGGCTCCAACACATGTAACATTATGTTAAAGTCATCATTATACATGATTTAAGAGCCTAATTTATTATATTTAATTTTGAGTGCTTCAACTAAATGACAGTACTATTTTGTTATTAATTATAAGAGATTTAGTCTAATTAAAATAATTTCTTAGCTCATATCACAAAAGGCAGGTATGTAAGAAAGGATGAAAAGGCATGAAAAAAAAAGCGATAATGTTTTAATTAGAGTCTCTCATAATTATTTGTATAGCCTTTTTTTAATAAAAGGGGGAAGTAAGTTTGAATAGTTCTGTTAAAGTGAGATCAAAGTTCTTAAATTCACAAACAAGCCATTTCAATACAATACACACAAAAATGAAAAATGAAAAGTCGTTAAGTTAGTGCTTGCCAGATTTGGACATGATACTTGTCTTTCTAGGACCCAAATGGAAACCATAAGGGCAATGCTGAAAAGCCTAAAAGCAGTAATTATACACTAACTACCTGTATATATACCAAGATTTACAACTTCATATTATTATTTTACAATTAGAATATCAATTGGTTAAAAATGAGACAATTAATTGTGTCTACTAGATTCTAAAGGAAGATATTGTGGGCTTACCCTGACTACTTTCATTCTGGTTTTCTGCTTTTCTCTTTCTTCCCCTGGATGATTCCGATTGTTTCTTCTCTGGTGTCTAGAGAAAACAAGGTAACAGATTTTTAAATGACAGTTTTAATGTACAAAATTGTCACAGTCAATACAAAACGATGTTTCAAGACCAAAAAATAGTGTTCAGTAGTGCTTAAGAGATGTTAATATATTATTTACACACAAGTTATTTAAAAGATAAAACTTCCTTTTGTGTAAATGTTAAAATTCCAAGCAGAGAAAATCTTGGACATATTATCTGATATTCACATTTACAGAATATGACATGAAGTGGATGAAAAATCCTAGAGTAATTAGCCTTTACAAGATTCCCCTCAATGCTTAACTGGATGGGGGCGGAGGGATCACCTTAGTTTTTCCTATTAGTTTTCCACTACTCAAGCATACTTAATGCATAAAAGTAAAGTTGGATGAGAAAAAAGGGGCAGAACACAAGCCCTGATACATGCAATCCCTACTAAAAATCATTCACTTAAATGCCTGGCAATTACTATCCAACAATTATAGCCAATTCACAGATTATGCCCTAGGTAACAGATCAGCAAACTATGGCCCATGGGCCTAATTAATTTGGTCACCTGTTTTGTATGATCGAACCACAGCTTTTACACTTTTAAATGTCTGAAATTAAAAAAAAATCAAAACAAAAAGAACATTTTGTGGTGTGAGAATTCTAAGAAATTCAAGTTCCAGTATTCCTAATAAAATTTTACTGGAACACAGCCACATTCTTTCATTTAGGTATTGTCTATAGCTGCTTTCACATTCCAACAGCAGAGATGAGTAGCTGCAACAGAGTTGGAATGGCCCATAAAGATGCAAATAAAGCCTTTTACAAAAAACGTTCACAGATTCCCTGCTCTAGATGGTGGCTGTGGTTCCAAATGACATGTGTGTTCCTGTAACAGATAAGCAAGTATTTTCATAACACAAGTAATTTTTCTGGAATTTGACAACCTTTAATGCCTAATCAAAAATTAAAACCAAGAGCAAAAGCACAAGGTAATGGCACCAGGACCTCAAATTCTAGAAATTTGGAAAGCACCTCTGGTGTCAGAAAAATTCCTGAATTTCACAGGAGCGCCATGAAGATTTGAGTGAATGAGTGACTCTTACTAAACAACTCAAAACTCTTAAGGCATCATGGTCCCCCAACAAAGAAGGGACTTAATTCATAGTTTTAAGTCTCTGAGTGGGCCTATGATTAAATATATGAATAAAAAATACACATCCTAATTATTATTGAACACATTGTTTCTCTAAGTACCATCTTGGGTATTCTCCCACCTCCAATTTTGCCAATAAGATATCAGATTCAGAGAAGTTGGACTGAATGTTAATAGCCTCTGAATTCCTTAAAAACAGACATCTTTACCCTCCCTCTCCATCTTACCCCACTGCTAGCATACAGTTATTACTTGATAAATATATGAATAAATATTAAATAACTACTCAAGGTAACACTAACAGTATGGCAGAGCCAGGATTCAAATAAAATTCAGTTCTGAATAATTCTAAGATCTAAATGTTCTTTTTCTACTGTACCCTAAATCAAGAACTAACTAAATGAATCTACTGTACAAAAATATTTTAAAATTTTAGTGTTTATAAATAAAACTCAATATGCCCAATAAAGTGCCTGTATGTTTTCACTTCACAAACCAGAGGTCTTAAAGAAATCCACCCTAACTGGCCATCTACTCTGTAGGAAGACAGATGTACCAGCAATTTTGGGTAGGTAGGTAGTTCACTACTTTCGTTTCATTGTCAAAATTACCAAACACACAAAAAATAATCTTCCGTTTTCCTAGAAATAAAAATATCACTACATTAAAAATTCTAAGTTAACATTTTAATAAAGAACCCTAAATCAGCCAGGCATGGTGATTCACTCCTATATCCCAGCACTGAGAGGCTGCGGGAGGCAGATCATGTGAGGTCAGGAGTTCGGTAACAGCCTGGCCAACATGGCAAAACCCCGTCTCTACTAAAAATATAAAAATTGGCCGGGCATAGTGGCGCATGCCTGCAGTCCCAGCTACTTGGGAGGCTGAGGCACAAGAATTGCTTGAACCCAGGAGGCAGAGTTGCAGTGAGCCAAGATCACGCCACTGCACTCCAGTTTGGATGACAGATCAAGACTCTATCTCAAAAACAAAAGAACCCTAATTCTATGTTAAAATAAAAGATAACCAAATAATAATTTACTCATATCCTTCCTAACTTAATTTATGTAAAAAAAAAAAGTCAGGAAAACATAATCTTTCAGAATACTTTAATGTTATACTAATTTTTTAAGCACGGCAGGATCCTATTCAAAGTCCATCTTAAATCTTGACTAGCTGCTTTTGAGCCGGCAAAAATAGGGGCGAAAACCCATACAAAATGTTATAATTCTGAAACAGTTATACTGGAAACAGCATTTTCTAGCAAGAAAACAAAATAAAATGTAATGTTCAAAATGGTTCTGTACCATTTTCCAAAGTATATCCCAAGGAACTAGTGTTCAATGATAGGCTGAGAAGGCTATATTCTAAATGGGGGCAAAAAGGGAAGAGTTCAAATGGGGTAAACATCATCAGATTTCTTTACTTCAAGCTTCTCAGAACCATCAAAATGCTAACATGCATTGGCTATCTCCAAAAGAGGGATGAGCTGGGAAGATACAATAAATTTTCAAAACGTATTTGAGGTAATATTTGCTAAATACTTCACTGGATATACACTTTAGGATATTTATGGTTGTTTGTTTTCTTGTTTAACATATAGGTTACTTAGTGCAGGTTTTTTCCTCTGAGGCAGAATTTCCCAGTGTGGGGGGTATGGGACAGTTCACTGGCAAAAATGTCATTTCATTAAAACAAACAAAAAAGCAAACAAATGTATTACAATTATGTTAAAGAAGGCCACAAGTTTACCTTCTTTAAAACAGAGAATAATTTACAGATGGAGAAGAAAAAAGGGTGATAGGACTAAAATTAATTTAAAGACTGTTGTGCCCCAAAAGTTATTAAAGGAGAAGGAGAAGGGAAGAGAAAGAAGTGGGTGGCTGAGTTAAGGCTCTAGCCTACCAGAGACATATCCTATGTTACCTCTACCCTGAATCTGCAAACACAGCACCTCCTATTTTAATACTGAGATTCCAGATGGGATTTCCCTTGAAAAAACAGTTCAGCGGCTTTTTTTTTTTTTTTTTTTTTTAAAAGCTACTGATCATGACCAATGATTTCCTTGAGGAAACCCAAAGGACATCAACCAGGCCACCTATGTATTTGCATAAGGTATACAATCTGCATATATCAAACATTTTATATAGAACATTTTCAAGACTGCTCTTGCTAATAATGCTGTCATTTCTTTTATTCTCTATTTTTTTCTTAACTGTCCTACTACAAATAGACCGCTAAAGGAAAGATTAATATGGAAGGCAAAATAATAGGATTTGGCTTTAAAGTAAAGATGAAAGGAATGCAGCAATTATAAAAGGCCAGAGAGCTCCAATATACAGTGAAACAGTGGTCAGGAGAAAATGAAGAAAGGAGAGACTAGCATACTTTTAATCAAGTTAGCTGTGTAAATGTTAGATTTGTAATCATACCAAAACCTGAATGACCAGTCTGGCATTTAGATATTCCAAGATATTAGTGTGAATTTACACAGTATTTTCTACCAGTTGAAAGTTTGTTCAAAAAACACAAAGACAAATTTAAAGGACTCAAGAGGTGTAGAGATATAATTAAACCAAAGTTCCAATTTTATGTGGAACTTAGTCAGTGATTACTAACCAAAGGTTTCATATTTAATCATGTGGCCTGCTGTTTTATCTTATAATAAAATATAAATGAGTCTTTCTTCAATGCAAAAACAGATCAAACATAAGAACACATGAATCTCAATGCTGTTACAGAATGAGGGACAGAAATCACCTGTATAAGCCTCAAACTAGAGATAAATTTTAAATTATGGAAATAAATGCATTACAAAAGATTATAACGGTATACAAAAAGATGTTTTAACACCAACAAAGAAAGAGGGAGTGGATATTGAAGTCTGTTCTTCACTGGCCCTGACTGAATAGACAACAACAAAAATCAGCTATCATCTCTAATTAAATCACTATAGTTAACAGACACAGAATATTTCATTTCTTTTTGTTAAACAAGAAAATTTTACTTTAAAACAGAAAGAAAAGTTACTCCAATATTAAATTATAGCCCTATAAAATATTCAATCTTCAAACCTGACAGAATAAATATTTTTTCTGACAGATCCATTTGGCCAAAGCTTGGTTTCAAAACTGCAACTCACTGGGTATTCTAATGATTCATACTCAGGTATCAAATTCAAGGCTAGTATAATCTGAACAAATGGCATGATAAACCTTTTTGCCAGCAGCTGGTAAAACAATGTTCAATTTTTATCCACCTTTCTAGGTAAAACTTGTTGAACTAGATGTGAAACAGGAAAATACTGAAGATACAGGTTTGTTACTTTAATGGCACGTATCAAAACAGCACTGAACTAGAAAGGAAAATCTGGACCCTGACAAACATAGTCAATGTAAAATAGATGCTATTTTCAAGAATGTCAAATGTATAAGACATTCTGGCTTTTTTCTAAGCTTTCACTATAAAAATTAGGTTAGAATTATGTACTGTAAGAAAACTGAATTTCTATTGTGAAAACTACCTTGCTGCTTTGTATCCTATTTACATTTAAATAAAATGTTATCATGAAATATGTATATCCTAATTCAAGGATGACTTTGAGCTGGTATGACCTGAAATTCACTCTGCCCAGAGTTACAACTTTAATACTAATGACTATTATCTGTGAATATTTACTTTAACTTTGACATCTAAAGAAAGATCTCTATTACATTGCTGATTTTAATATTTAGTGTAAAAAATTTATGTATGCAAAATTTTGGAATCCTATCATCAAATGAAACCATTTCCTTGTAATTCTAAGTAAATGAAAATCATCACATCAGCAATTTAGAGTGTGGTCTATTTTCTGCCATAC